CTTCTGGGACCGTGTCATGCAAGGGAAGCATATGGCAACACTGCTTCCTTCAATCACTTCTAAATACATCTACACACGAAGCCCGTGGCACGCATGCCAAATATCCATGCACTCACACACAAAAGGTCACCCCTACAATCAGATACGAAATCTTTCTTATCGGTTTCCACTTCTCTTTTCCCTCCCCACAAAAAAAAAAAAAAAAAAAAAATGCTTAAAGTCAGATTTTTGTCACAAATTCTGCACAAACATTTCAAGTTGCCAGAAAATGCAACAGAATCACAGAATCACAGAATCTTCAGAGTTGGAAGAGACCTCTAGAGATCATCTAGTCCAACAAGCTGGGCTAATATTCCAAACCAGTCAGTTAACAACAGTTACTGCTGCTGTTAGAAACTTTCAACTTCTTTTTCTTCCTGATTCTAACTACAATAGTTATTCTCCACAGTGTGCAAATTTTTGGCCAAAACTCTAGCTCAACACTGGCATAACATCTGGAAACTCGTATTTTCTGCATCTCAAGGTCATCTTCACATTATTTAAAACAATATACTGCATTGCACTGCCAATCCCTTCCTTCATAAATTTCATACATTTTTATATTATTTCAAAGTTAATGTATCAGTTAATAACATTGTGGATAGATCTGAGTTATGCAGGATCTCCTTTTCCAGCACTGTTTCCAAGGAAAGTGAACTCAGACATCCCCCATTGTAGCATCAGAATTACTGGTTGCACACTCATAACTGACTTTCACAAAAGGTGAAAATTACTTAGAAGAAAAAGTCAAGTTATTTAAAACAGATGTGAACAGTTTCTTACTTTACTTATCACAAAGAGGCAATTTAATGGGCGTTACTTGACAAAAATACTTATTTAAGGTGATAAGTATTACACAAGCTAGAAGATATAATCGGTCTCAGTTCACTAAATTCAGCTAATGGTAATGTGCAACATTCATTTCTGTAAATTTGTCTACCATGACTTTGTGAAACAGCATTATTCAAATATAGACCAGGAGATATATATATATAATGCACAAATGTGTCTCCCCATCTGTCTCCTAAAATCTGCTCTGTCCAGCATGTTTGCATCTGGCTTCTTCTTTTGTTGGTATTGAGCTTGTTCTCAAGCAACGATGTTGCTAAGGCTAAGCAATGCTTAAATCTGGGATTTAAGGTGAGGATAGTCTCTTCTTATACTGTGAAACTATTGTGAATGTTGTTATTCATAAGACCTGTATTCTATGCCAAATCTGAAGTATACCAGGCAAAAAGTATTAAAAAAACTAAAATACTTGTTTTCCCCAAGACACACTGGAATGGATAAAGAACATTGCTTTCTGTTTCACTGTGCTTCTAGTTCCAGGCTATTAGCTCAGGTTTGCAGACAGAGCTTATTCTACATTACTAACTGCAGTAGCTCTGTTACATATTATTGTAGAGTGGAAAAATACCTGAAATTTATGGTGGAAAATACTACATCACTGATCTTTCTAGTGCTTAGAAATTGAATTATTCACTGGAAAATAGTCACATTGCTATCTATTTTAAAACACATATTTTTCTCTTCTTCTTTATAATCTTATGGTCATTCTGCAAAGTCTCTTTTGCATGTATTTGATGAACAGTTGAAAGTCCAGCTACTAAATATTGATTTGTCCCAATGAACCTTGCATTGCTCAGTAAAGCTTTTTATTTTAAGATTCAGGGTTTTTTCTTAGGGGTAACTTGCTACCGTTACTATAGTCAAGCCATAACAGGTTTCTGTCCCCTGTTTTTCTTTAGAAGTATTTTCTTTATGGTACTTTTCAGCTCTTAGACCCCATACTTTGGATTGCAGTTCACAAATAAAAGTAAAACTAATTAATCAATGGTATGCACAGGTTTTG